GGTGGCTGGGGTCTGGGAGTGGGTGGGTATGACGACAACCATAGTGGCATGATATTTAGTGGTGGGTTGGAGTAAGGTGGGGTGCGAGTGAGTGCCAGTTGTGAAGGTGACAATAGTGGTGTGGGGGTGGGGGTTAGGTTTAGGGCGAGGTGGGAAGGCAGGGCGGGGCGGTGAGGATGGGGATGGGTGACGGGGTGGTAGTTATAATGACAACAGTGGTGGGATGGTGGTTGGGTGGCTGGAAGTGGGTGGGTATGACAACGACAGTATTGGCATGGTGGTTAATGGTGGGTTGGGGTAGGATGGGGTGGGGGTGAGTAGTAGTTATAACGGTGACAATAATGGTGTGGTGGTGGGGGTTAGGTTAGGGGCGTGACTGTAACAATAGTAGCATGGTCGTACTAGGGATGTGCAGTGAATGACCGGAGGGTGGGTGAGTGGGTGTGATGACAACAATAGTGGCATGGTGGTTAGTGGTGGGGTAGGATGGGTGGTGGTGGGGAATGAGGGGTGGCGCATGACGAACAATAGTAGCATGGTTGTGGTAGGTGGTGATGGAATTCAATTTCTTCCATTATGCCAAGAAATTTATTTGTGGAATTCAATGAAATTTGAAGGATTCCATCTATTTCAAGAAATGAACCAAACAAAGGAATTGGAATTTAGTCAAATGAATTTGTCATTCCAATTCCATCAAATTCCTTCGAATTCCACAAACCAAACGGCCCCTAAGTTTTTTTTTTTCTCGATCTCAATGAGCTCCACCCACCAACTGAACTAGTAGATGGGTTTTACAAATTTAGTTTAGAAGACAATAAAACTAACTCTTTCTTGACCTCGAGGAATCGAAGAATTACAAATGAATTTACAAAAAGAATTTGCATTGGTGTTTTGATCTTTAAAAAAAATAAGTAGATAGGTTCGATCTTGAATCCTTGATTCGGTAGACGGGCATCTCGACTTGGATTTGAATCATGGATCTGGACATGGACAACGTTTTCTGGATCTGGAATTAGGGGTGTTCATTCAAACTGACAAATCGCACAAACTACGCACACCGCACCGCAAAGAGTGGTTTAAAATTTTCATGGCGTGGTTTGCATTTTTATCAAACCGCACTATGTGGTGCAGTTTGCAGTTTTGAGTTATCAAACTGCGGTTCAAACCGCATCGCACCACATGATTTGTATTTTTTTTATTTTATATATAACACAAATATATATATATATATATATATATATATATATATATATACACACATATATAATTTATTATTTATGTAATATTTTTGGACTTTGAGTTTAATCCAATATGGAAAGTGGCTATATTAATAAACTAGTTAGGCACGTCACAGTTCACGCGTCCAATTTAGTTTGAAGTTTGTTCTTTTACTTCTTAGACTATTTTAGTTATGTAATATATATTTGATAGTCGGATGTATTGAAACTTTTTGTTTTTTTGGACTATGGTCACTTAATCATTAATGTGTTTTTAAAATTATAATTATTGGATTGTAGACATAAAGTGCAATAGGTACAAACCGCATATAATTATACGGTACGGTTTAGAAAAATGCTCAAACCGTATATGTGGTGCGGTTTGCGGTTTAGCCCCAAAATGCACCGTGAACACCCCTGTTTAGAATTCTCGTGTCCTTTGTTTCTGTTTTCAATTCTTCAAAGTCAAAATTGGAGCAATGTTTCTTTATAGGTTGAGGGTAGCAGGAGGGGTTTAACAGAGTTAAGGGGGACAATAAAGGCAGGGATGGAGGAGGGGAAGTCGTAGAGGGTGGGCTAGAGCTTTGTCGTCGGAGATGGAAGGGAAAAGTGGATGGACAAACATCGTCATTTTGTAAGGGAAGGGAAAAGTGGATGGACAAACATCGTCATTTTGTAAGAGAAGGGAGGGGTTTATACATGCGTGTGTGGGTGGGTTGATTCATGTGAGAATCGCAAAAATATGCAAACCTTGAGAACTCATATGTTCATTAATCATACACAGTAATGAATTTCAGTAAGCATATTTCATCAATGCATATATATATACATACACACACACACACACACACACACATATATATATATATATAGGAGTAACATTTTTTGTTAACCAAGAATATAATGTTAACTTTGTGAACTTATTTGATCAATAAGATTCATTCTTTAGTAGATGTTACTTCAAATGTTTGATTTAATGATCAAGGGCAAATAGGTAATATATATATATATATATATGTGTGTGTGTGTGTGTGTGTGTGTGTGTAAGCTACTTTTATAGTATTTAATGAGATGTAACAATTTTTATGTGTAAGTTACTTTTATGGTATTAATAATGTTCATATGTGTTCATAACCATAAGTATTCATAAAAATGTGTTCATATGTGTTTACAGATGTTCATAAGAATGTGTTCATAATCATATGACGTTCATAAGATTAATGTTCATAACTATATGATGTTCATAGGTGTTCAACAAGATTTTTCATAGATGTTCATATGCCATAATCTTATCCTGTTCTAGAATGTTCACCAAATGTTCAAATTTTCATTTATCACAAATATGCTATGATTTAATCCATAGATTAGTTAAACCAATTATTGGGTTAACAAAAGAACCAATCTTTATATATATATATATATATATATATATATATATATATATATATACTTAGGATCATGTGAGACCAATGGTTTTTGTGAGTCCCATAAGACCAATTCTCAATCCTTGGATTAAATTTACAATCAAAGCATTCATAATCACAAAATTGTCATGAGATTTCTCAATAATTACAAAATTGTCATCATGCAACTTTAGACCATTAAATCATTAGCTTATAAAGTTGATTAATGAACATAAATTGGTCTTACAAGTCTCACGTAAAACCATTGGTCTTGCATGAACCCAACCCTATACATACATGCATACATGCATACATGCATACATACATATATACAAAATGACTTCTGCTTTCTCGGTGAATGTCTTGGTAGAAGATATTATTTCACTATGGGAGCTGGCTATGCCCGAAGTCGTTACCTTAACCACAAGCAATTTTTTGTATTCTTTGGAATTTTGTTTTCCCCCTCCTGGTGGTATCAATATATATATATATATATATATATATATATATATATATATAATAACCAAAATATGTTTGAGTTAACAAAACTTATTTAACGAAGTTAGAAGAAAGGAGCTGAATTGTAAAATAAATGAAACCACAGACACCCAATCTATAAACAAAACATTAGAAAGATCCAATTCATAATTTTCATATAACACAAAAACGATGTTTGTAATTTAGCATATAAAAAAAACAAAAAGAACTCATTTTAAACTATAAAATAATATATTTAACTATAAAACAATTAAGAGACAAGATAAGGTACGAGGCATCTCATATTTCTAATTTTAATTTTGAGTAAATTACAAAAACGGTACCTACAGTTATGAAAACTTTAGTTTTGACCCCTTGACTTCAATAGTTAGACCGGTAACCTTGTGGTTTGCATTTCATTACAGAAGTTGTCCTTGACCCTAACACCGAATAGTGTCCTAAGGTGCTAGTCATAATTTTGAAAGATCAAAAACGAAAACTGCAATTTTCAAGAAACCACATTGTAGAAAATAAACTGAAGGTCACACCACATTTTTGGTCCTCGGTGGGATGTTTACAAATTTTAATCAAAACACAAAACTATGAAAATGGGCACTACTTTTGCATTTTTGTTTGAAAGTGGTCCCTAATACTAATTCCGTTAACATTTGTCGGTCAAGTGAGGGATGTTTCGGTATTTTTTACCTTTTTGGTCTTTTCCTTGTTATTTAATTAAAAATAAACTTCAATTTACACATGCTTAAAGCATGGATACAAGCCAAGAATGCACCCCACATCTACTCCTTCCCTCGGCTCTTGATGATCCTTCTCCAACAGAGGGAATTGAAAATCTAAAAAATCTATTCATAAATGACCAATCGCCAATGTTGATAACCCAGTTAACCTCTTTGTTGAAATCACCTATGCATGAAAACCCATTTAATCTCTTTGTTGAAATCATCTATGCCTGAAAATCCATTTGTTGCCGCAAGCTTTGGGGGGAGCGGGGAAGAACAATGGTGGGCAATCGATGGTGTTGATAATAGCGGTTGGTGATGATCGACTAGAGGAGGTCGATCAAAGTAGATGGAAAGAACTATGGTGATCATAGTGATGCCACAGAGAAGGGAGATCTAAATAGAGGGAGTGGCAAGGTGCATAAGGTGCATGGTCCACTATGGCGAAGGATTTGAGCGAACACCTTTCCAGAAGTATCAATACCGTCACATGAATTGTAAATGATGAAGGATAAGGGCGAACCACTATGGTGCATAAAGGTGCATGGACCACCGTTTCACTCGTAATGTGTCATCATATTTCTTTGCTGGATGTAACCGAATATTCCTTAAAACTACAATAATAACACAAGTTTCTTTTGGTAGAATTGGTTTGCACTCTCCTTCCAAGCATGGGTAAATTTGAGATAAAAGACTCGAACACATGACCCCTTGTTGACGATCCTTTACTCCGACAGCATCTAGGGTTCCTCGAACAATGTGATATCTCACACCGGATAAATCCTTAACCTTGTACAATGGAAAGTGCCACCGGTTTATCTCTCCAACGAATCAACTTACATAGAAAAACATGGAACTTACTAACAAACCAATGATGATTTTGTGAAAAATATCGATAACTTCGTTTTCTTTATAAACTAATGATGTCAGCACTTGAAAAAAAAAAATTAGACCTGTATCCGATGAAGGACGAAAATGCACATCAAGTAACAACACCTAACTAACAGAGTTAGGACTCGAGGCAAATTCAAACCAAAATGCAAAATGTAGTGATCATTCATGTACTGTTTGCATTTTAGGGACCCCTTGTGATTTTTGAAGATACCACAGGGACTAAAACTGTAATTTACTCAAAAATAAAAGAAATCAAAATTGAGGAGTTTCCCGGCTGTCTCCGCTCCAAATCCTTGAAAAAAACCCTCGTGCGTGGTATGTATATATAATGTCTTCTTCTCCTTTCAAAGTTATGTACAGTCGCTTTCCCATTGATTTTCTGTGTATAATTGGAGAGAGAGATCCTTCGATTTCACTCCAATTTTGGATCTACAACCCAAGGTACCTTCAATTTCTGTTTAATTTCATTATTCAAAGATGAATTGCGACTCAGATTTTCCTATAATCGTGTACGCCTTGCTGTTTCTTGAGATTTAGATTCAATTCTACTCAATTTTGTCTTGATTCTCTGTTTACTTATTCTTTACTTTCTGTACATTAGTTCTTTGACATTCGTTGCTTACTTTTGTGCTTTACAGCTACCAAATTTAGCTCAATTTTTATCTTTTTTAAGTTCATACTAGATCAAATTTTTTAACCCTTTTACAATGGGTTTTGATTTGATGTTGAATTTGAAAATTCTTAACCCATTGTTTTGATCAATGTTAGTTTCTTGCTTCATCTACAAGACTACAAATTTTATTTCAAATTTGCTTTGGTATTACTGCTGTTAAGCTGGCATATATAGCTCAAATTCTACTCTTTGAGTTCACAACAATTGATGAGAGGCAATAACTTTTAATCGGCTTGATCTATTTGTATTCAGGATCTGTCATCATTGAGGCTAAGAACACAGATTTGCAAAATGGATTTGAGTTGATGGAGAAATTAGAGATCATTTGTCCTTAGAATTGGTTATGTTTTAAATAAGTAGAGAGCGATCCTTAGAAATTAAGTTGTTAATGGATTGTGATCCTCCTAGAGATCCAGATTTTGTTATTGATCTTGAGAGTGGTACTGGTGATCCCAGTTCAGATGAAAATTTGCCAAAAACAGATTTCAGCAGGTTATCAGATCAGCTGATGAGCGTAGATGATGATTTGGAGAACAATGTGAAGGTGGTAATTGACTCAAAGGTAGAGGTTGGGAAGAAGATGGGGAAAGATAAACGTAAAAAGGGTTCAAGTGCGAAAAAACCACCTAAACCTCCTCGACCTCCAAGAGGCTGCTTTTCTTTGGATGCTGCTGATCAGAAGCTCATCAAAGAGCTTGCTGAACTTGCCATCATCAAAAGAGCAAGAATCGAGCGTATGAAGGCGCTCAAACACAAGAAAGCTTTAAGGGCTTCATCATCATCATCATCTTCATCAATGAATGGTAGCTTGTTTGCCATGCTCTTTACCATTATCTTCTTCCTAATGATACTTCTCCAAGGTAATAATTTACAGTTCAATCTATTTACTTTTTATCTTAATGGATGCATTACTTACAAGCTATCCTCTAACGATATCTTATGAGGATTGAGGATTATACAGATTGTTAATTAATATAGATTAGATGAATCATAAGATATTAAGGATTGAGAAAGCAAGTTTATAAAGGAACAAGATAGATAGTGAAGGAAGTATGATGATGATTCATAGAAGACAAATCATAATCTGTAGAGGATGTAGAACATGGGAAAGATATTGATTTATGCGCGTTTTGTCTTACTAGTAGTCTTTCTATTCAAAGCTTAGCTACTGAAAACAGGCTTCCATTCCTCATGGTAGGGTCGAATTTGGCCCAACATTGCATATGGTGCTCTTACATTATATGGTTCTGCCCTACACATCTCAAAATCTTTGACAATTTGTCTTGTTTGTTTTCTTAAAACATTATTTCAATTCAAAAAACGAAACTAAACCATTACGTTAACATATTTTGCAGGAATGTCATGTAGAAATCCAACTTCTCAGGGTTCACCTAAGACAGCTCAAACAAATGAGAATGGTTTAATATTTATACAGGAGCAACTCAATCCATCTGCTAGTGATTCCATTTTACCAGATTCTAAATCTTCAAAGTACGAAAATCACCAATTTTTTCTTCGAAATATTTTGTACAGAAACTTGTTATTTAAAAGAAATCTAATGGCCTTTTTCTTCTTGGTATTTTGCAGTCTACTTGAAAAGATTTCGGGTTCAGGTTCTGGTAGCGGGAAAAGTACAGTAGATGAATAAGCACAGAATGGCGATGCCTGCGACAACCACCATGTCTTAAGTTCGTACCACATGTATAGCAAACGACACTTGTTGTACTTATCCTAATCGCACTACTAGATTAGTCTTTTTTTGGATATAGGCCACGAGCAATCGGAGATTTAGCTGGATTTGAGTAGCTGATTTGTTTTCTTTCTTTAAATTATTAGTAAATTAAATAATCTGTATTGTAGTCAACAATAATCAAGATCTGATTTTCATGTAAATTAGTTGGGTTCAATTTTCTAATATCCCACTTACAAGGTTCAGATTTGGTTCTTATTGATCTTCATATTAAAAAATTACATATTTACCCATTAAATCATTATAGATGTCTGATTATGTTATAATTGCTTAAGGGTATTATTTTATCAGGTATTTGATGAATTGATGATACATGTTGCAATATTTACATGATTATGAAGACATGCATGTGATGATAGAGGTCATGGTATGGCATATTACACAGGAGACAGTACTAGACAGCCATAACTTGTGTATGGGACTCTTTTGGACAGACTTAGAAGTGATAGAGAGACAGGGTAAAATTACGATAATGCCCTTCATCCTCATCTTGAAATAGCTTCTCTTCTCATATACAATTTTCTTTTGAAGTATATGATATTTATAGATATACTTGTCATCTTTGGTGAGACTTGAAACCTTGACCTCCAAGGAGGTTGGGATGTACCAATAACCCGAGTGTCGTTGGGCCATCTACCTTTGGCACACTTTTTTCTTGCTTGAGTAGGCAGCTAGTCTAGATTACAACTAGTACCGAATATCCATCTAGCCTTAGATCAAGACGAAAACATTTTGCTATTTTGATGATCTTGTCGGACACCATGAGACCTAACACGATGCCATTCATGGCTAGTAATAGGTAGGGTATGGATCAGAATGACCCATATCCAAAATTGGTCAAAATATAACAGGTAACAGGTGTATTAGGTTTATATTTTGTTTGTAATACAGTAGAGAGACCAAATATGTAAATACCTTCAAGGTATATATATATATATATATATATATATATATATATATAGAGGAGTGATCATATGAAAACCGCCCTCATTTGTGTAAACCGTGCAAACCACCTTCATCTGTCGATTTCATTGTTTAATCTTATGAAATTTTTTCATGAAATTGTTTAATCTTGTGAAATTGTTTCATATAATACTTAATGAAACTGTTTCATGTATTTCTCTAAAGTTAAAATTATGAAGATGATAATATCTATGATTAACACCCTCCACAATAAAAATGATTAATCAACCTCTCATAATTACAAAAAAATGAACAAAATGAAAAATTATGATTGGTTGAATGCGGTTTGCACGGTTTGTACAAATTGAGTGGTTTGCATTTGATCGCTCCCCTATATTATTTATATATATATATATATATATATATATATATATATAGCTTCCTAATCTCTAGAATAGGTCAACTCATTATTGTATTATCAGTTTATTACTGAGAAGCAGCTGCCAAAGGCAAACCCAGTATTTTGTATTACATGATTTGAATCAATAGACAAGCCGACAGATTTGCTATTTGCATTGTATTAATGTTATATAATTGTTTCTTGTAATCATCTGGGTAAACAACAATTGGTATCAGAGCAGAATCTATCCCAGTCTACGACATCGTTTGTATGCACATCGAGACTAGAGCCTAATACAACTACTAGGACACATACAATTGGCGCATATGTCACTCAACTGGCGGTTCTTCGTGAACACGCCGGAACATCCAGAGTGGTATCTTTTATAGATACTTCACGAGGACAAGATGAAAATCCTACCAGTGTCACACCATTGCCAACACTGAATATAGGTCACACAGTTGATTCAACTGTCATGTCAACAGGAAGGCTCAGTGCCCCTGGCGGTCATTTACCCGAAACAACGGCGCAGATGCTGGTTGGTGCTCTAGCTGCCGTCCAAGCCTCCATGTACAACGAGGTGGATGAACTAAAGCAACTATTGAAGGGCAAATCGGTCATGGAGCACGTGAGTCCAACTCCACCGCCACGGCCACCACCTACTCCTGAGCCTGGACAACCAGCTGAGTGCTCAACTGAAGAGCTGAAATCTCTCTTATACACTAAGCTGTTGTTCGAGGCAGATGAGGGAGGACAGGTGGAAGCTGACTGCATAGGCATGCTCAGGGCACAAACCCAGCCTGTGTATGTCATAAGACCGGAGTTCCACGCATTTCAAGACGAGGTCCGAGGCAGTTTATGAGGTCTCACTACATAGCTGAATGACATGGCAGACACCATCAGATCATGTTTCTAGACCTTGTCCGAGAGAATTCATATCCTTGAAGACACATACAAGAGTCAGACAGGTGGGTCAAAAAGACGACATGATGACAGGATGACGACCCCGATCACCATGAGGGAGAGAAACGACAAAGAACCACCCGCCATGACATCTCCAGAAAAATCCAAAGACCGAGTCCCAGTGTAGAACCGTTACAACAACAACAACAGGGTCAAGGTCATCGTCAACAATCCACCGAGGTAGAACCAGAGCCAATGGTTGAAAAGTCGGCGGTTGCTGAAGATCAAAGTGCCCAAACGTCTACTGCTGTTGCTGAGGTCCCATGCCCAATTATCAACATTGAATCTGATGAAAAAGGGCCCCAATCTCAGCAAATCAAGGAAGAGATAGACAACTTCTTCACGTTCTCTGACGACAAGATGCTCGAAGAAGGGGATTTCGACCACGTCTACGATCTCAACAGTGCCTTACTAGATTCACCTCCAAGAGATCGATTGATTCCCCAACCTCCAACGAGTCAGATAACTGCGGGCCCGAGTACTCCAGCTGCATCAGATTAGAGAGGTGGGATAGAACAAGAATCAGAATTCCATCCTTGAAGATACATAGATCAAAGTCTTCGTAAGAAGAATTGTGGAATTGGATCCGGTTCGAGTTCTCTGGATCACTCACCTCAACAGTTTACAGGTCATCGAGTATATGCACATGCTTAAGGCAAACGCTCAACCGCTCGAGATGGTCAAGTCAAGGCATAAGATTGTAGGGATTAAGAACATCTACACTGACAGACTCATGAACGTCCGTTTCCCAGTCTTCATCGTGATCAGAATTGAAGTTCACAGAAGTTGACTTCAGGCATTTATCTTTTGAAGACTTCGAAACGATGTACCTGGACATTCTCCAGTACACTATCAGACCGAAAGACGTGCAGATAGCTCTAGAATCTATCAAGTGCTTCATGCTCCGTCAGATAATGCTTGGGTACATATCGGACTTGCAGTTGAGCATTGAGAGCAATCAACCAAAGATAAACCTGTTGAAGTCGAAGTAGTCTGGAAGACATAGAGTCCTTGCCCTTGTTCCTGTTAATAGAGCAACCCGAGTTTAGCATTGTGTACTCCAACAACATCGGATAAAAGAAGTTTATGCGATTCAACTAGCTACCAGCCTCCTCTGACGAAACCCTAAAGATATTCAAATTGAAGCTGCCAAACAAGCTGGAGCTCGAAAGAAAAGGACTTGAAAAGCTCGACCCGCATGACAAGAACATAATGTTGAATGCTTTGGACTTGATTGGCAAGAAGTTGGAGTACCCAAGAATAATGCACAGATTCGAAGTATATTTTTGCCACCGCCCAAGAAGAAGAAGATTTGTCTGAAGCGGCTTTATTACAAAAGGAGGAGAATGTTAGGTTTATATTTTGTTTGTAATAAAGTAGAGGGACCAAATATATAAATACCTTCAAGGTATATATATAGCTTCCTAGTCTCTAGAGTAAGTCAACTCATTATTATATTATCAGCTTATTATTGAGAAGCATCCGCCAAAGGCAAACCCAATATTTTGTATTCCACGATTTGAATCAATAGACAAGCCAATATATTTGCTATTTACATTGTGCTAATGTTATATCATTATTTTTTGTAATCATCTGGATAAACAATAAGGTGTTTGTCAATAATGAATAGCAATATTAATTATATGGGGTCTTGAGTTTCTGATTGAGGGTCATATTTAGTGTTGAATTGGAAACAAGATGGGCGAGGAGATAAATGGGTGATAATGATTTGGAATTGGATGATATGCATGTGGATCAGATCCATAAACTCAGCAATTGTTTCCTTGTATTGTATCACATATTTTCAGTTGTGATGAAATTATAAATGCAATAATTAAAAACCTTTATTATAACATTTCTCTTTATTTTAACAAGTATGATCAACTGCTTATTCACATTGAATCTTTTAAGTATAGAGTTTGAAAAAGAATTCTTATCTCATTCCTTGTTCTTGCTTAGTATTTTTACAGCGATTTCAAAGCAACTGCATGTCTGTCACAACCTTAAACACCATCTGTTTAAATTTAAAAGATCTCTTGCAATAATCACAAGGGTGGTGCCTGATTGATTTGAGTTTGCCTTCAAAGGTCAAAAGTAACAGGAGGTCACAGGTTCAAATCCAAGGAGGAATAAAAATCCCCTTGTGGCCACGAAGGTTCAAATGCAGTGACGCTGGGCTATCTGCAAAGCAGGTGGTCGCTCTAGGATTAGTCGACTCGTATAGCGGGTTGGATATCCAGGTTAATATAAAAAAAAAGATCACTTGCAATACCACCATAGGCATATCGGTCCACTCCATTATCAGTGTACATATATTTTCCTTTATTTTCCGTATTTGTTTTCTCAATAAACGTCACAAGTCCGCCTAATTTTTTTAACAATAGTTTGTGAAATTAATTTTTATTTGTAGCTATCAGTATTTTTATTCATTTAAAGGGCAAAATGTATTGAAATTCGATCAAATTCGTCTTGACAAATTAATTTTTTAAAAGTTCTCAAAATTCTCTATTGATGTAACAAAGTTTTTCAATTAATATAATAAAGTTTTATCATAAAACGAAATCAATAGGTCATCTGTTAAACAGGTATAAAGTAGAAAATTTTGAATATCTTTGGAAAAAATTCTTTCTTGTACTAAATAAGAGTTAAACCGAGTATTTTAATGCATTTTGCCTCTATTTAAAAGGATCACCCTCGCTAATTTTTCTTGCTCTGCCTCTCAGTATTTGTATTTTCTCAGTAAATATATTAATCAATGCATATTTATTATGTGTACAAATATATACACATTGATGCATATATTCACTTAAATGAATATATTGGTTGCAGAGTTAAAAGTGTGAAACGTAAGAAGGAATCTGGATCCTTGATCACCTTTAATCTCGAACTCATTCATGAATCGCGCTTAATACATTCTAATGTGCATCCAAGGATGGAGATCAATTCTTGCGCTTCTCTCTTTTAACTCTCCTTCTCACCGGAACCCAACCCACCAACAACCACTATATCATCGTCCTCGAATAATTTAATTAAATCGTTTGATTTTGGAACATCATCCTCCATCTATCTTGACAAACAAATCTATATTTAGTTTTTGTATCATATTCCACCTCACATAAATGCAATCCTATTTTCTACTCTCTTATGAAAGTGAAAACAAACAACAGCCCAAAACTTGTAAAGGACATTAATCCATCCAACCAATGGCATGATTTCCGTCAGTCGCCAGATACCCGACTACGTAAGAAGGCGAGTGTTTTGAGTAGACCGGTATCATTTGCTTAAGGTTTGTCAACCTCAGATATGCTTTTATATGAGCATCTGCAAGCTGCAAAATGTTTGGTAGTTGAGATGCTTGAATTATGGTTAGTGTCATACGTCCCAAGTTACCTTGATACCCGATACTCAGATTCTTCATAAACTCTTCTCTTGCGGCGTTTGGGTTCAAATTATTCCCCCTTCCGGGAACTAAACCCCAGTAGAAAACAACGTTTGGCACCGGTATGCTCAAGTCAATGTATTCTGTAGGGTTTGGATCACATAAGGCCTGCAACTCCTCCAACTGTAATAACCAGGTACAACATAAGTTACTAAGGTTATGTGAACATCTTAAGTGGGTTGTTTTAAGCAAAGCTACAACTATATTCAGAATGCACTTGAAACGTAATAGAAAATGTCGATAAATTCGATGATACTAATCCATTTAGCAAGGGTTCAAGTCAAGTATCTAATATATCCCTCAACCTTGTTAACTAAAATCAATGCTATGAATATTTTGTCATGATTATTAACGGGTAAAACGGTAATCTATGATTTGGCATGGAGGCGACACACATAGGATCAAAGGCCTATTATGAAATGAAAGATGGCATGCTTACCTTAAGTAGAAGACAGCGGATGCGTGATTTTACCCAGTGTACCCACATCCCAAGCTCATCCTTGTTATAAGTTGAAAGACATACTTTTACAAACCGAAGGCAACTCTTTGAGTAAGGAAATGACTCGAAGAGGTTTCTCCACTCAAATTGTGGCTTCAAAGCATCCTGCAGCAATACGATTTTTGCTTAATAAGATCCTATAAAAAACATACCCATTGGTGTAATTTGCTAACGTCTAATAAGGGAATATTTTCAAGTCAATTCTTGCAGCCAAAATCAAAAAAAGAACATTAATAAACAAAAGAAGACCGAATCAGATCAAGGTTTGAATGGTTATGTTTTCATAATACTCTTTGACTATTAGTCAAATGCCTAAAACTGCATTCCCCAAGTAGGCCACAATTAATAGCAACAATTACGGATGTAAGGCCAACCACCAAAATGTGATTTGAGCTTTATTAATAGTTGAATTTTATTTCGTAAAACTATAAATTATAGTGAGTTTCATCATTAAAGTTGGTTCACTCAGTAACAATTTTAGGCAAACAAGAGATTACCTTTTTTAAGCCATTAGTAATCCATTTCTATAGCTATGCATTGGCTCTTTTATTTTTCTTTTATTTTCAAAGATTCTTTTTAAATATTATTTCCAAATAAATGATATTCATTTGTAAAAAGTTGCTTAAACCATTAAAAGTAGACCTAATCAGATCAAGGTTGACCATTTCAGTTTTGTTCGGTTTGACAACCTTCAGGGTTCTGATATGTATCAAACAAAAAAAAACGATACGGAACAATGCAATTCTACCCGATACTTCTTACTTACCTGGAATTCGAGACCCAAGGCAATCTCCAAAGAAAACACAGAAAAGCGTAAAACAAAAGCTACCCCACCCTAAGGGTAATCGGCTATATTTATGCTAATCCCCACCCAAAGAAAACGTTTTTTGCCAAAATTAAAGCAAATGACCAAAAATAG